TTATTTATAAAAATTAAAATTTGTAATAATAATAATTTCTTAAATAAAGTATTATATATGGCGAATTAAATTACCATCTATTGTCTCTGAACTTCTAAATTGATCATATATTAACTCAATGCTTTGAATATTATAATCGTCTTTGGATACATCATTTTCTTCCACTATCTGAGATAGTTCTTTGGGTTCAATTCCTTTATTCGTCAATTTACCTTTATCCTTAACCTTACTAATACTCTCAGTATTATTTTCGATTAGAAAATTTACATCATCAAGCAGTTTATCATTACTATCCTCCAAGGCTTCTTCGTAATACACCCTTTCTTCCTTATCCGATTCAATTAATTCTTTCTCTCTTTCATCTTTGGTCATAGTTAAATCATTCATATCAATATTCATCATTTTACCCTGCGATCGCATACTCAATCGATTATTAGCACCTCCTGGTTTATAAGAAATGTCGGTGCCTTTTTTTGATACCTTGGTTTTTTTTTTCCTCGATCATATATAATATAGTTATTATAATGGAGCTGACATAGCTGATCATTAATCTGAAGCTTATTAGTAACGGCCGAACTTTCTTTTATTCTAGCAAGTAGATGCCCGGTTAGTTTTCTAAACTTTTCATCAGAACCTTGACGACCACATATAGTACAAGGTCCCTCATTCTGACGTTGGTTTCTTCTTGGCATCGTTACTAAGCAAATTCAAAACTAAAACGGGATCAGAAAAAACTATTTCGGGATCATTAAAGCAAACATTACAACGAACCTCTAGCTAAAATTTTGGTTTGCTTTATTATGTAGTGTCTCGTAACTTACATATGGCTTTTTCGATATCTAATATATATTTAATTAATCGTTCTGATTGGTTCATATCACATGCAGCTCTAAATTTGATCGACCAATGAAATAGATTTTTAACCATGCTTTATATATTATTATATTAGTAATTTCTATTTATACACAGGGTGTTTGTATACAGGTATATAAAAAGCCAATCAGATTGCATGATCAGGTATAATGTAAAATTATTGATTTCTCTAAAATATTACCTATATCTCAAAATTTTGCTTATGAAACCACCTTTTAGATTCTTACAAAAAAAATTCCTTGCAAAATTTTAGTATAGATTATAATACGTCTAATCTTAAATACACCCTTACTCTAACCCGAAGTAGAGCTTAATTTTTTATTTTATATATTGCTTTGATTTGCATATTATACAGATTTTTAAATTAATACCCATATATCATACACTATGTATATATATCTTTAATAATTTCTATTATATTATATTAGATAGTAATTTGATAATTGATATATAGGAATAATTTGATTAGCTATAGGAAGTGTGGCACAGTTACATAACCTCATATAACCTAAGATAACACAAGATTATACAAAAGAGTATTTTAGGTTACACAAAAAGTGCCACAAAAGAGTAACACAATTTTCCTTAAGTTTTTCTACACAGAATCTCACAGATTTTACCACATGAAATCCTAAGTGTTTTGAATACAAGATACTTTGTCACAAGCTCCACACCACATTGCAAAGTCTTCCAGATTCTCCTCTTTCAAGTTTTTCTTCACAAACAATAAATAAATATAAACAAATCGAGTAATATTTATATTTTACAACTTCCTCTAGTACAATCCCCCAACTTCCTTCAGTACAATCTCCAACTTTCTTCAGCACAATTCTCCAACTTCTCCTACTAATATTATTCATCCTCCAATATCCCCTTGCATATTGTATACCTTTGCTTTGAGCAGAAAAGATATATAAAGGGTACTTTTTCTCTCTTTCTGCTAATTCTTAAGTTCCTATACTTTGCTTAAACTCTAATATTCTTTTCTTATCTTGTAAAGTATAATATTCTACCTTTAGAGTAATTTTTACAGGCAAGGCTTATTACTATTCTTGTATTAAATAAAGCTATCTTATATACTATTACTATTTCAAACTGTTTGCCTGCTGCTGTGTAGTTAAGTAAACAACTACACCTCCATCCTATATATATTTATAATAGTTAATCACTGTACTGAGTGATCTTGTTACTTGGTTATATTTTACTAAGAAGGCTACAACTCTGTAATATTTTGGTGCCTCCTGACAGAAACATAAAATTTTGTGAAAAGCAAAATTTATCCTCTTGGAAACAAACCTCTCTCTTTCTTGAAAGAAAACCTTGTAGAAATTATTTTTAACTCTCTTGGAGCAGCAAAAGCTATTAAAAAAGCATCCTAAAAAATTATATTTTTGATATACTACTACTAACTCAACTTGAATTGTATTTAGTTTATTGAATTGTATTTGGATTTGTTTTGATAAGAAGTTTATGCTTTTATCTCCTACTACTACTAACTTTCTTGTAGGCCATACATATATTTTGTTTAAATTTTGGAATTATATTTTGTTATCTTTACTCAAGTTATTTTCTTTTGTTTTATTCGCAAATTTTATTTTATTTTGTTACTGAAAACAACTTTCTTCGATTTATTTTCTTTTCTTTTCTCTATTATTTTATCGTTTGTTACTACTAATCTTCTTTACAGAGATTTTTATTTTATTTATGGGAGATTTGTTAACTTGTTATCATTTAGAAAATATTTAAAAGTATAGACAATCCTGTTTCGACAGCCCTTCTCTTGCTATTACTGTTCTTCAAACTATTGTACCTGATTTAATCTGTACTCAGTGCTATCCTATGATACTTACTCTTTGAGGATGTTTTAGTGAATTTTGGAACTAGTATTCTCAAGCCTATAATACTACTACCTACAGTTAAGCTATTTGTTCTAGTTTTTATTAGCTAATTACTACTAATCAAGCTAAAGCCTATTTAGTTGTTTAAAATATTATTTTTAGCTACCAATACAGAGAAACTATATCTAACCCTTGATCAACTACTCAACTTATTTTATAAAAATTTACCTTTTTTCATAACCTTTGTAAAGCTTCAAGTACCTATATCAACCACTATGATATTTTTATTGACAACTCTACTGCTGCTCAATCTTATCTTCAATCATTATACTTGGATGAAAAACAACAAACTACAAAAGAAATTACTACACCTATTTTACCACTATCTTCTTCTAATACTATTATTAGAATAGAAATACCTGCTATTGCATCTACTTTTACTACAACTCCTACTCGAATTACTCAATCAGAAAGAAGAAAAGAATCTTTGACTCTATCTAATACTCAAAGTGTTAATTTAGAAGAAACTTTTTATCATCTACTTCTTCACTTAAATTTATTCAAAAGAGTCTATAGAACTTTGATATCTTATAATTTTTGTCGAACTGTATTTTCATTTACTTCAGAATTACATTAGAAAGATACTCAATCTGTAATTACAGAAACTCCAATTGTCACTAAAACTGTATCAGTGCATATTGCAGAAGAGAAAGTTACTACCTTTACAACTTCATTTAATCAAAACTATCAGCCTATTTATCCTAATATTAAAACACCTAGTTTACCTCCAAATTGTCTCTATCCAGAAATTTTTAGTTTATTCTCAACTTATTCTCCAACTTATACTCTAATCTATCCACAACTTCCTGGAATAACAACTAGTTCTATTCATCATAATCAAGAAGAAATAAATTTTGAACAAACAGAATCAAGAAATATATTAGAACAAGACCCTCTTTTTAAACAAACTAATTTAACTTCTCCATACAAATCAAATAGTTTAGATATTGACAAAGAAGAAAATATGAATAACTTACAAGAAAACACTGAAGCTGTAACTCAATTAGCTGAAATTATTTCTAGAGAAAGAGGAGGAGAAAAATCACTTATCAAGATTAAACCATTTAAAAAAGATAGTATTGAAGATCCTGTTGACTGGATTAATGAATTTGAGCAAGCTGTTACTGTGAATAATTGAAATGCTAATAAAACCTTTGCAATTGCCAAAGCTTATATACAAGATAATGCAGAAGAATAGTTAAAAGGATTAGCTGACAATGTAATTTAGTTATACAATAGTGATGACTATAATAATGACTACAAGTTCAAAATGTTGTTTTTAAAAGAATTTACAACTCTCAAGAAATTAGCTGCCTAGCAACAAGAATTTTTCAACCTAAAACAAGAAGCTAATACTGTAGATACCTATACTGCTCAGTTTAAAAAACTAAAAAAGAAAGTAATCCAGACCCAGAATATGCCTTTTCTGATCTCTTCATTGTTCAACTTTTTATCAAAAAATTGCGATCAGAATATGCAATTTCTGTTTAAGCATCAATTCAGAAAATTTGAATGATGCAATTGCTACTACTAAACAATAGAAAACTAGAAGATTAATAGCCTCACCAGAAGATCTAGTAATAGATGCTATCTATAATCTTACTAGCCATTTTGACAAATTAGCTATTAATATAGTTCAGCAACAACCAGAACTGCAACTCAAGTCTGCCTATATAGCTGAAAAAGAGTCTAGTTTGTTTTGTCAATATAACTTTAACCAGGATAAAGCCCTTTGCTATTATTGTAGTAATCCAGAACATTTTATTGCTAACTGTAGAAAAAGAAGAAGTAATAACCAAAGAAATAGAAATAATGAAAAGAGAAACAATAACAATAATAGAAGAAATAACAACTGCTATAACAATAGAAGAAACAAAGATAAAAGTCAATTTTGAGATAGAAATTATAGGGACTGAAGTCAATCTCATACCAGAAATTATAGTGACAAATCCAGAAAAAGAAGCCAAAAAAGATGGGGATATAGATCTAATTATTTATTATTTTTCTATTATTAAAATGTTAATATAGTTGAAAAGCAACCTGCCTCTAATTCTAACAATTAGAAAAGATTGTTAGATAACTATTCTATTAGAACTGCTCTCACTACTTATATTACTGAAACTAACTGAAAAATACCAAACCCCAGCCTATTAGTACTATTATACCTATCAAATGCTATATCAATATTCAGAATCGTATCTACTCTGCTATTATTGACAGTAGAGCCTCTGTCAGTATGATTTTATACTAGACTGTAAAAGAATTTGGACTAAAAATTGAAGAGCTATCCAAGAGTCTTATTGTTGCTACTACTGATATTACTTCCAGACCCCTAGAAATTATTAGAAATTTGCTTATTAAAATTCAAAATCGACTAATCTCCTTAGATGTTGAAGTAGTGTTTGCTATTTCATATTCTATCTTGCTTAGAAATGATTGGTCTAAAAAAGTAGAAACTAATTATAACTAGAAAACTTGCCAATATACTTTCTATTAGAAAGAAAAGAAGATTGTTCTTAATACTTTTTATAAGCAAGAATAGCCAAAAAAGAAACAGCCAACCTGTATTAAGCCAGAAAACTTTGAATTATATGAGCAGAAATACTTAACACCTCATAAAGCCTATGCATTTTTTGCATCCTCAGAAGATAAAAACTAAGAATGAACTACTTACCAACCTTAATAAAGAAAACCCTTATGCAAAATCTGTGCCCAAGCTACCCACTAATACAAAGACTGTTTCAGGAATCAATGCTACTATTGTAATTAATTTGGGTATATACTTATTAACTGCTTTAATAAACATGAAAGATCAAATAATTATTAAACTTGTGAACCAACTACTCATCTTTTTAAAGATTGTCCAAACAACTAATGTTATAGTTATAATAAATTTTGGCTATATTGAAATCAACTATCTT